TCATTCTCTCTCTCTCAAATAAATAAATAAATAAAATCTTTAAAAAAAAAATTGCCACAAATATAAGCCCGTTGTATGGTAGATGTTCCTGCACCTGGCAATGCTCCTTGCCTTCTTTCTGGCCCCCTCTTACCCGTCTTGCCAGTTTATAATATGTGAAAGATACGTCTTCTAGGATTCTGTAGCGCTGGCTACGAGCAGGTGGTCTAAAATGGTGTATAGCACAATAATTGGTGTTATGGGGAATGAACTATGCACTGACCGTGGAAGATATATTTCTTGAGTGGAGGGACAGCTTTTATGAATGGCGGTGGCTCAGGGACAACCTGTGGTGATATTTGCTCCAAAGAGATTAATGGAAGGGAGAGACGAAGGACAGACTGTTACAGGCAGTCATCAAATGGGTTTTGATATTTAAAAACTAAATAGTTCTTCAGGTCACTAAAAGCTCCATTTGTGAGCACTCACTTATTTCAGAAATACTAATCCAGGGTCTATAGCATGCCTGGTATTGTGTCAGGAGCTGGGGCTGCAGAGATGGACGAGACACACAGACATGGTGCCTGTCCTCTTGGAGTTTACATTCTAGCAGTGCTCAAGTTGGTTGGACTTCCAGGAATCCGTCTGTTAGCCAGCAAATATTTCCTGAGTATTCACTCAGTGCCAGCACTTGGAATGCCATACTGAACCAAACATGCTCCACACTCGCATAGAGCTTACAGAAAAGCCAAATTTGATCAATCCACACCAATAAATCCACTATAAATTAGAAACGTGCAAAATACTATGAAGGAGAAGTACAGGTTACTTCAGGAAATTCAGGCAGAAAACTATTCCCCTGTCGCCTGGGTGAAAAGAATTTCCCCCACTAAAGTTTGCTTAGAGTTAGGAGAGTAAGGTGAGCCCAGAACGGACTGGAAGAGCCATGGCTCATGCCAGGTCGGCAATGGAATGAAGAACAGAATTAGTTATCCCAGGAGGCGATGTAGTCAGTCACATTGTTTGCTCATTCCTTTTGATTTCTTGTTGGTTTATGCCTTAGGAGTCCCAGTATAGTTCAGCTACAGAAATCAAAGTGAGAATGGCCTTTAGCCATACTGAGGAATTCTAGAATTAAGTTTGTCTTCTGTCCCATCCAAGACTACAGCAAACACCCCAACACTTGGATGGTGCCAACAAGCTGCTGGAAAATACACAGGGTCTGGGATCATTAAACGAAGCAATTATAAACGAAGCAATTACACGATCCACCTACTGCAAGAACATGCCCCCCCCCCCCCCCGCCCCAGTTGCGGTCACTGGCTCTGAGCAGAAAAGGTAGCAGCAAAGAGAACATGAAGAACTGATGAGAGGTGTGTGTGTGTCACAGACAAAAACCGCTGCCCCTACAATCATAACACATTCTGGGAACAAATAAACACTAAAGCATCACTGCACTACACATTCTTCAGTGGGGATGAGCTGATCTGGGGGATTCCGAACTTCTCACCTCTGAACCAGGAGGGAGCTGGGCTACGTTTGGAGAACTTCCCTTTCCAGCACTATCAGCAGACATACAACAGATGCACAATCAATACTGATTGAATTACTACAGGTTTCTTTCCATTTGCTCCCCGATTTCCTGGACGGAGAAGAAAAATTTAGAAATATCTAGTGATGAGCAAAGGAAATATACAAATGATAAGTTCATTTACAGCTGTGTTCTGATCCAGCCAAGAAGTAGAACTAAGTCCTGAGTAGTTCGGCTTCTGCTTACGGCACAAATCTGCCTCTCTGTCCGGGGAAGTGATTAGGACGAAAGGGCATATTTCATGGCATCCTCTTAAAATCAAGAAGGGCTGAAAGGGAAGGAAGCCAAGAAAATCAGAGAGGGACGAGGCTGGGAAATTAGGCTGTAGGAGAGCTACAGCATTAGACTGCCTAGCTTCACAGTCTCAGCCCCTCCACTAACTGTCGAGCTATGAAACTGCAGGCAAGTTACTCAGCCTCCACTGTCTCTTCTGTAATATGGGGACCTGTTCACAAGTGGGTTTTTTTTCCTTGAAAGAATCATCTCAAAAAAAAAAAAAAATCATCTGAGTTAAGGTCCTTAGCACAATTTCTGGCACATAATGAGTTCTCCATAAATTTTCATTTTTACTCTTAATAATTTTCTAAAATGATCCCCATTTCCTCTCTAAGATTTTTCACTAAATGTGATTTGCTAACTATATAACTGGAGGTAATATATCACAAGTCTGAAAGACCTTTTGCATAAATATTTCACAAATCAGGGGGAAAAAAATCCTTCTCACTCCCTGATTTTTGCCTCAGCTCTCTGTGGCCGCTAACACGCACACACAATGGGTCTGGTCTCTCTGAATTGGAATTACCCTCCTCCCAAAGCAGGCTATCGTCACACATCACACAACCTGACCGAAGATTCAGGGTTGGTTCCTCTCTTAAAGACAACTATGCTTAGATAAACGGGATTACTTTGCTATAATCTCAGGGTGTAAAAAGTCCAAAGAATCTCTGCAGTCTGGGTCGGTGCGCGTTTGGTCTCGGGCCTGGATTTGTCTGCCAGGCCTTGCAGAGAAAGAGGACAGACCGCATTCACCTAGAGCAAAATCAGGCTGACACAGTAAAGATGTTTTATGCTTTGTTTACATGGTAAGTGTCCCGACTCTTGGAAGAACAGTCGTGCTGAAAAATTGACACGCTTTTCCTTCTGGTATGTCTTTGCATGAATTGCTCCCCTCTCTGCAAGAGTAACTGATACCATCTGTGAGCATTCTGGGCCCCTCTCTCTCCTCATTCCCTTTCAAGCTGCATGTTTCTCCTCTCTGCCTCTTTTCAGAGGTGCAGGCACACAACCCCCCGCCCCTCCCAGCTAATTGCCAAAAACACTAGATCTGAGCTCTGTCCCCAACCCTATTAACCCCTCGCTTCCAGCCCTGCGTCTGAAGGCGAAAACAATCCTGGGAGCCCGGCCCTCCCACTGCCTGTGATAGGCTGCCTGGAATAGCAACAGCCTGTGTCACCGAAAAGGGCAAAGCCTTCGGAAATAGAAACAAAGTTGGTTACAAATCACACTGGGGTTTTTTTTGTTGTTTTTTTTTTTCACCCTTCTTTAGCAGGCGACCATGGGGAAAGTGACCACTGCTGTCAGAGCGGGCAGCCGGGGCCGCGCGGTGCCGCGGGGGCGCCTGTAACTTCTACTCGACCATGGTACCTGTTGAAAACCGCGAGGGCCCCGGGCTGCTGAGCCCCAAGGGGAGAGCGGCCGAGACCGAGGGCGGCGGCGCAGCAGGCGGCGGCCGGCATCCTCCCCGGGCCAGAGGTAAAGTGAGGCACGGGCCGGCCGGAGCGGCGAGTTGTACTCGGCTCTCGCTCCTGTGTGTGCGCGCGTGTGTGCGTGTGTGTGTGGGTGGGTGCGCGCGCGCGTGTGCGTGCGTGTGTGTGTGTGTGTACACGTGAGCGGGCGAGGGGCGTGGAGAGAAGGGGACAGGATCCGGTGGGAGCAGGAATGACAAGGAGCTGTAATGTGAAGATCCAAGTCCCACTACTGGCAGGATGGGTCCATTGATTGTGTTGGCAGAATGTAGAACTCGTTCATTTGGGGACGAGTGACCGGCAAGAGAGTCCCATGTGTAAACATACACACACACACACTTTTTCATTTATTGTCACAAATGGGCAATCTGTAACAAGTGGACATTTACAACCATGTTTCAAATCAGTATTTTCAGTAGGCTTCAGGAAAGTATTAGTTATGTAATCACTGAACACAACTTTCTTTTTTAAGTTCCCAGCCTCCGTGTGTAATGAATTTGTAAAGAATTCAAGCCTAAAACATCTGCTTGATTTGCTCCTGCTCTCTTTCCAACTGGCCTTTTCAAACTGAGGTTCCTTTAATACTTTTTCTTTTAGGTGGTGAAATCTGAAAAAGTTTTAATTCATTTCAGTGATCTTTGCTCTGCCGAATGCTGTTCTTCACTTCCACATTCACAATTCCCACAAACATGTTGCAAGCTTTTGGCCATCCTTTCCTACTCTTTCAGCTGGTTCTCAAAGGAATAGAAACTAATCGTAATAGGAAATTAATTCAAACACAAATAATTCTCTAATTCTCTCTCTCAGCTCTGCTCCCCTTCACCATACCATAGATTCCCAGGTCATAGATTGGAATTTCATGAATAGTCCAGAACACTAAATGATACAAAAGGCATGTACCTTTCACCTTGCGATGGATATATAAAGTTATGTTTGCGTCCTGGGTTTGTCTGATCTTGGACTTGAATCCACAACCCCTCTGTCGGAGGCGCAGATTGGCTCCTAGGCAATGAGAAGCTGTCAGCCTTCCCTTACCCTGCACCCTGCTCAGCTTTTCTCCCGCTTTCCCACTTCTGCTCAAGAATGAACGTCTGGGGCCATCCTTCAGGATGGCTGAGTCCCTCTCTTAAGCAGAGCTGCCCCTTCCTCCCAGGTGCTCTCTGGCTCAGTCTCAGAGCAGCCCAGGGAACCTTGTATTTGAGGGTTCATGGAAAGAATCGCAGTGTTCTCTCCGAGTTCTGAAAGATTGAGCCGCAGAGCTTGCTGAGGTGGCCAAATCAACAAAAGTTCACTAAATAGTCGGTGATAATGTCACAAAGAAGAAAAGAAACTTTGTCCTGAGGGGGCTCTACAGCAACAATTAAAAATGGACTATTTAATTTTGATACAGCTTTGAAAGCACGGTGTACTCTTAATAGGTTAAATTGTGCAAGTGCACAATTATCCTGAAGTAAGGTCACAAGTATTTGTGTTTGGAAAGATTGAATATACGCACAAAATGCAGTTTAAAGTGCAACTGTTTGTGTTCTGAAGAAATGACAAATGGATAAATACTGTAAGTTATTTTTTAAATTTAATTCTAAATGAACCTTTATTATATACAAAAGGAAGCTGAAATTTTCCCTAAAATCCTAAGTGAATAAAACTTTGATCTGTGCTATAGTTTACATTTAGATGAATATAAACATTTTAACATTACTTGTGTAAATTTTCCTAAATTTTCTGAGACATCTCTTGGTACCCAAAGGCAATTATATATATATCTACCAAATGCATAGTGCAAGCTCGCTCTTTGTTTTGGGATTATACTTTAGTCTGTTTTATAAAGATGTTGAGGCTTAATGAAATAATGCTTGTCAAATACTTCTTTTGACTTCTTTGTATTTTAAACTTTCATAGTTTCATCCAGGAAATTCAGAGTATTTAAATATGCTCAATAATTATCATTCTATTCCTACGTTTGAAGACACAAGTTTTTCTATATTCCTAGATGGGAAAATTAAAGCACAAAGAGGAACAAGTCATACAACCCAGGGGAAGATAATTAAACCATTCGAGATACTGAAAACCAAATCAAAACAAAAATTCCTAAACTCCATGATTGCACCCTCAAATACTTTTATGCACAATAAAAAGTGCTGGCAGATCTTGCTCGGCCATCCCTTCTTCAGCTGGAGAGAATGCTTTATTCCAATGACTAGAAGCTAATGAACTTAAATTCATTTTCAAGAAGCTATGACTCAAAGTGTATATATTCTCAGTAAATTTTTTAGTGTTCACAGACATATTATAATTGACCTCCTAGGCAGGGTTGAGCTCAATCCAGGTGCCTAGAGCCGACCACGGTGTAGGTGATATTAGAAAAGTACGCCGCTAGAACATCTCACACAAGGGAGAGATGTGTGGTTGGCCCAAGTTCACTCAATGCAGGTGCAAAACTGACCGTGGTGTCTCTGGCCTGGGAGGCTGGATGCCTCCTCCTCTGTCTCAGGAGATGGGTCTCCTAGGCTCTTCTAATTTCATGTTTCAAATGACTGGCTAAGGGGAGGGTTTCCTTAAGGCCCCCTCTACCCTACCAGCACCCACCCAAACGTTCCGAAACCAAGAACAGTGTTCATTGTATGAATGCAGGTTCTCAGCACAGCAGATCCCGCTGCCGAATGTACTGGAACCCAGGTCACTAGAACTGAACTCACTGACCCAGTTGGGAAGACTGGGCTTCATCCCCGCCAAGACCCTTCTCAATCCAAGATGCCACAGCCTGAGACTTAAGAAATGCACTCTTGTGCTAACCAGATGAGTAGCCAAAGGCAGTTCTCAAACTTGTTTAAATCCGTGAAACTCCTTTTGACAAAGGAAAAGCTGAAGAGGTGATCAATATGTAAGAGAAGTCATCATGGCACCTCTCTAGGGAGAAGAGGGGAGGTAGAGAAAGGAAAAACCTGAGGCAGGTGTCTCCCTGCTCCATTCCTATCCCTTGTATCCCTGAGCAGACTCCTGGGTGGGGCCGCAGTAGCAAACCACAAGTCCATCACTCCTCTGCTTATGCAGGCCGTGTTACTGAGGTCAGGGCATTTTTACTATGCTCTTACTGAGTCTTGGAGTCCCAGGGTTAGCCTTGTCAGAGAGCTGAGGAGACTTTTAGAAGCAAGCTTATCCCCAGAGAAAAGTAAGTCAGGCCAACCAGCCTGACCTCATAACAGAGCCTTGGTTGTGAGAGGAACAGTTCTAACAACGAACCAGTCATTTTGGGAAGACCCAGGGCCTTAGCCATTACCATTTCTCCAGGCTTTCCATATATCAAAGAGTGACTGTGTTTGATTGTGTTTTAAAAACACGCATATTTAATAAATTAATGGCTGATAACAGCAAAAAGTGATGGTATGCAGCTTGATATTGCCACGGGAGTGGCGGGATTTATAGACATGTGAATCTGTGAGGGGCTGTAGACTCTTGTCTGGAAATAAGACTAGATTTAAAGGTAACCACCTCTCTTCACTTCAGTCAGCTTATCTCTATGATTGTGCATTTCACGTCACTTGGAAATCACACCAAAGTCTAAATTTGAGGCTTTTTGTGACTGTGAGGCTCCAGCAAGTGGCTCCTCCGAGATCTGGAAAGAGAGAAGGCTCTAAACAAACATGGCAGCACCTGTTCCACCACAAACTCTGGGGGGTGTCTGGCTCAGGCAGCCAGGGCTCTTGCTTCCCTTGGAGATCACGGTGACCTAGAGAGGGCAGAGAGGTTGCCACTTGCCACAGCCCCCGTAGCAGCAGAGAGGCGTTGGTGGGAGTCTGCCGGTGGCAAGGCCTGGCAGACAGCGGCGGGGGCTTCCTGCAATGAGGCTGACCTGGGGAGGATGGAATTAGTCAGCAGGCACTGGTGGGCTGAGCTGGTTTCACAGTCATGTCTATTCGAATCGGTCAGTGCCCCTTTCCCGGTCGTTAAATATTTTTAACGTCATCTTTCTGTCTGGTAAGACTGCTAGCAGGAGTGGAGGTCTCAGAGATCCCAGGAACAGGCCTAGTGTTTGTGAATTTTCAACAAGGTACTTTTTAGTGGGCTGGATCTCATATTAGCTTGTAAAACAAACAAACAAACACCCTCAAAATACAATGAATCCACCCTGGAGCCACCTAAGGAAACTGCGAGTTACATGTATAAATTAAAGGTGATTCGGCCAATTTTAAAATGCTGTTTTTAATTGCTGTAGATATGTGGGAATCTATTGTTCATTCAAGAATAGTTAGTTCTTGAATATGGTTTTGTAGGGAGCATTTTCTCAATAGTAGGAACCTAAGTAATATTTAGCCTAAGGGTGTGAGATGTTCTGAGAGCTCCCAGTGGCCCTCCATTAGTGTGCAATTAGCTTGTGCCTCTAAGCGTTGAAACAATTATTTACTCAGATTGTGTGAGTGAGCACTGGTTGTCTGTGATTCTTTTTTTTTTTTTTTTTTTAAAGATTTTATTTATTTATTTGACAGAGAGAGACACAGCGAGAGAGGGAACACAAGCAGGGGGAATGGGAGAGGGAGAAGCAGGCTTCCCGCTGAGCAGGGAACCCGATGTGGGGCTCGATCCCAGGACCCTGGGACCATGACCTGAGCCGAAGGCAGACGCTTAACAACTGAGCCACCCAGGCACCCCTGTCTGTGATTCTTAAATGGAGCAGAGTTGGGGCTCCCTAGTTCAATTTTTCTCATGCACAGTCATCCCCCAAAAAGATGAGTTATTGAATAAAATAGGGGATGAAAGCCATGTAAAAAGACACTGAGTTATGGTGGTGAGTAAGGGGGAAAGTTGGAATGGGCTTCTTCCCAAGGGGCTGTTTGACCAAATACCAAATAAGGATAATTTCTAATCCATCTTCCTTCAGAAAGTACCCGATCACTGTTAAAGGCAAAAGACTTGGAATCGCCCCAGATATTTCCCAGCCGAAACTTTGAGTCAAATATATAATCTTTGTAGTAAATCATAAATTCATAGCGTTCTTTGAAATTTAAGTTT